TAAGTGATCATGTATCATGTTTTTCTTATCCTGTGAAAACATGGTTCCATCTTTTCCTGACTTCTAGTACACCGAGAAGTCGGCTGTCTGTCTAATTCCTCTCTCCTCAACCCCCTACCCTCTCCTGGGTAGATCCTATATGCCTTTATCCTTTGGGGTTTTTTTATGTGAGAGAGAGAGAGAGTGTCTTACAGCAGCTTCTTTTGTTTGGGTTTACACATATGTTCACTTTTAAAGATTTAGCATGTCTCTTCTTCAGAGGACTCCTCTCCTCCTCCAGTGGTTGACCAGCGATGTTCTTCTGTGCCTTGTGTGATGTTACTGGAGTGACCCCCACCACCCACCTCTGGTCGGCAGCTGAGACTGCTGTACCACAGTGTTGTCTCCCTGGTGCGGCCCTCTCCTCATATTTTCAGCTCTCATATGGGAGAGTCAGTAGGTGTACCAACAGCACAACCAGCACTCTAAGATCTAAAGTGGAAACACAGTAAAGGAGCTGAAATGGCCTGGTGGTCAGGAGCTGCATAGTCAACCCAAAGGCACACAGTTGAAACCCAACTGCTGCTCTGTGGGAGAAGGATGGACAGTCTCCTCCTGTGTGATTTACTGCTTCTGAATATACGCTGAAGGGTCAGCAGCGAATCCGTTCTGACTCAACAACAAACGACAACAAAAACAAACTCTCATAAACGGAACAAATGTGTCTTAACGAGGAACCAGCGGTCCTTCTCACACAGGGTCGCAAACGGAAGCACCGTGCTCATTGCTCTCTCGTTGGGTTTGTTCTGTCTTCAGAGTCGTATTTCTTGAGTTTCGTATCTCTCCCCAAACATCTCTGCCTCCCCCCTCCCTTCTCATCGTTATCCTTCTGGAAAGCCGTCTCTGGCAGTATCTTCTTTGCTTTGCTTTTCCCCCCCCTGTTGTATACCATCGAATCAGATACAACTGGTCCAGGAGGAATTGCCCCTCTTTCCCCAGCAGAGCCTCTGGTGGATTCGAACTGTGCGCCTTCAAGATTGCAGCACAGCCGGCACCTTCTTTTGGCATCCAGCCCTCATGACTCAGTGTGTATATAATAGAATAGTTTCGTTTCCTGCCACTCCTCAGTACCAGGAGAGAAGGACACTCCAGTCTCCCTGACTTTCGAGGACAAGGCTGGTGTGACTCTCTGTGGCTCTGGGATATGCTGTGGACTTCCAGAAGAGCAAACAAATCTATCTAGAAAGAAGTGCAGCCAGACCACTTCTCAGACTCAGGGTTGAGACGCTTCGTCCGACATACTGTTGTCAAGGTGAGTCGTCTCTGGAGAAGACATCAAGCTGGGTAAAGGGCAGGGTCTGTGAAGAGAAAGACCCTCAGTGAGGAGGACTTACAGTGGCTGTGGCCTCGGGGTCCAGCAGAGCAGCGACAGTGAATGGTGAGCGTCGGGCAGGGTTAGACCTGCTCACAGGGGCACGAGGAGGCAGAGTCGACTCGATGCTCCGAAGAGCGAGGTGTGTTTAAACGACCACGCAGGGGACCCTGAAGCGTGCTGAGAGTTGCCGCTGCGTAGATTTCAAGTCAAAGCAGCCTCATCTGTGTGGAGGAGAACCCTGGACAGGTTCTGTGTCTGTGGCCAGTCAGGGCTGACCACCAAGTCTTCCGTGGCCACGCTGGATGGGTTGGCACCGCTAGGTTTTAAGTTAGCAGTTGGGTGATTAAACCTTGGCACCACAGTGCAGGAAAAGGAGTCAGACCTGTGCCATGCTGAGTCAGTGTCCTGAGTACAGTGGACACCACACGTCACCATGTCCACTCCCCGGGCTCCTGGAGAAAAGGAGAGGACTGGCCATTGTCCTATAGGTCTCTGTGTGGTGGCAGTGTCTCTCCCCTGGACACAGAAGGACACAGGATGAGGAGGTGACCAGCCATTGGCTTGGGGTCTCTGTGTGATGACAGTGTCTCTCACCTGGACATGGAAGGACATGGGGATGAGAAAGGGACCAGCTGGTTCCTACACATGTCCGCATGGTGGTGGTGGTGGTGTCTCTCGCCTGGACATGGAAGGACATGGGGATGAGAAGGGGACCGGCTGTTTCCTGCATGTCTCTGTGTGGTGGTGGTGGTGTCTCTCACCTGGACGTGGAAGGACACAGGGAACAAGGAAGGGACCGGCTGCTTCCTGCATGTCTCTGTGTGGACACAGGGGATGAGGAGGGGACTGGCCATTGTGCTGGGGTCTCTGTGATGACAGTATCTCTCACTTGAACACGGAAGGACATGGGACGAGGAGGGGACCAGCTGCTTCCTGCATGTCTCTATGTGGTGGTAGTGACTCTGGCCTGGACATGGAAGGACATGGGGATGATGAGGGGACTGACCATTGTCCTGGGGTCTCTGTGTGATGACAGTGACTCTCACCTGGACACGGAAGGACATGGGGATGACGAGGGGACTGACCATTGTCCTGGGGTCTCTGTGTGATGACAGTGACTCTCGCCTGGACACGGAAGGACATGGGGATGACGAGGGGACTGACCATTGTCCTGGGGTCTCTGTGTGATGACAGTGACTCTCGCCTGGACATGGAAGGACATGGGGATGACGAGGGGACTGACCATTGTCCTGGGGTCCCTGTGTAATGAGTGTAATGACAGTGACTCTCTCCTGGACACGGAAGGGCGTCAGTTGAGCAGCGTGCTGGTACTGTGGTACCTGATGCTGAAAAGACCCTGGCAACGCTTCCAAGGTGATGAGGGATGAGTGTGAAGGGCCTGGTGTTCAGCCTGGAGAGAGAAGCCCCTGAGCACACTTGGGCCACCACACTGTCCACTAGAGGCCCTGGTGGTGCAGGGTCCGTGCTGGGCCGCTTACCTGACAGCCACAGCTTCACACCTGCCCCATGGAGAGGTGTGACTGCCGCTCCTGCCAGGATCACAGAAGGGAAGGTGTGCACACGCCCCATCCTTGGGCTCTCAGTCACTGTGTGTTGGTGACCACCTCACACACGTAGAGCAGGAGGGGCCCGGGCAAAGAGGCCGCAACAGCCAGCGCTGCAAAGGGGCTCAAGCTGGCCAGCTGGGTGAGGGAACCCCGGCAATAGACCAAGGAGGAGATGGTCCCAGCAATGGACCAGGGTGAAAGGGACCCCAGCAATAAACCAGGTGAATGGGACCCCAGAAACAAGCTAGGGTGAAGGTTGTTTGTTGTTGTTATGTGCTGTCGAGTCGTTTGCGACTCATAGCGACCCAGTGAAAGGCCAGGGAGAAGGTGGTCAGGGGGGGTGGTGGGAGTGTGAGTCTCCTCTTGCCTTTGGGGTCAGCATAAGGCAGAACTAACTCCCTGGCCCTGACAACAAAGGCCACACATCTGACCTAGAAAATAAGCCAGGGATGTGTCCTGTGTCCATGTGGCGTCAGGATTGGTGGAAGATCTATCAACAATCTGCGTTATGCAGATGACACAACCCTGCTTGCTGAAACTGAGGAGGACCTGAAGCACCTGCTGCAGAGCATCAAGGACTGCAGCCTCCAATATGGACTGAGGCTCAATGTCAGGAAGACAAAGATTCTCAACACTGGACCAACTGGAAGCATCAGGATGGATGGTGAAGAGATTGAGATTGTACACAGCTTTAGTTTGCTTGGCTCCACAGTCAACACTCTTGGCACCAGCAGGCAGGAAATTAAAAGGCACATTGCCATGGGAAAGTCTGCTGTTAGGGACCTCTCCAGAGTACTGAAGAGCAATGGTGTCTCTTTAGAGACTAAGGTGCGTCTGATACAGGCCATGGTCTTCACAATCACTTGTTATGCATCAGAGAGTTGGACAATAACTAAGGAGGATAGAAGGAGAATTGATGCCTTTGAGCTGTGGTGCTGGAGAAGAGTATTGAGAATACCATGGACTGCTAGGAAAACAAACAGATTCATCCTGGAAAGGGCTAAACCAGGCTGCTCCTTGGAGGCAAGGATTCTGAGGCTCCGTCTAACATACTTTGGACATGTTGTAAGGAGGGACTGGTCCTTGGAGAGGGACATCATGCTTGGGAGGGTGGAGGGACAGCACAGGAGAGGAAGGCCCTCTATGAGGTGGATTGGTTCGGTGACTGAGATAATTGGGATGGGAGTGTCAGAGACAGTGCGGTTGGCACAGGACAGAGCAGAGTTTAGGGCTCTTGTACATGGGGTCACTATGAGTTGCAAGTGACTCGATGGCATGTAACAGCAATTCTTAATTAGCAATAATAATATCAGTAAGCCTGGAACAATGATCTCTTTTTCAAGTTCACAGGGCTGGTTGGGTCAGCAGTTCGTGCACTTTGTTACCTAAGGCTGACTCAATCCCACGTTGTAACAGCACTCTTCCCAGCTCTTCCCTGCCTAGCCTATATCCGCTCGTCCTTCTTCCTTTTTGTTTACTGATTTCTGAGATTTATCCCTGGAAAACTACTGTTCTGATCTCATGTGCTCAGAGCACCCTTGTAGGCCTGTTGTTTGACTGTGGGCAGTGTGGTGACCCAGCCGCAGGACAGCCAGGGAGGGCAGAGCCGAGTGTTTTGTCCATGGAAATGATTGAATCCTTCTGGGTTATGAAGTCCCTGGGTGATGCACATGGTTTGCATGCATCTACTATCTAGAAGGTGGCTAGTTCAAAACCAGCCAGAGGCACCGCAGAAGGAAGGCTTGGTGAGCTGTGTCTGTCTCGGCTGGCACAGTTCTGCCCTGGACGTGGAGCTCCACGAGTCAGACGAACTGACCGTAACGGGCCTGCAGGCTGGTGGCTGTTAGGAGCTCTGAGGGCCCGTGTGCACCAGGCTGCTGACTTCAAGGGCAGAGGCTCAGCGTCCACTCTGCAGGGACCGATGGGCAGCTGTCCAGGAGGATGTCCATCCTGGGAGAGCTGGGGCGGGGGTCTCCTGAATCTCCAGGGCACAGCGGGTTGGCCTGGGTCCACGCTCTGTCGCATGGGGAGCGTGTGACCCTGCTGAGCAGTGACGCTGTCCCTTCTCCCTCCACCAGCAATGCAGTAAGAAGGCGTCTGCCTCCCTCCTGTGGCTCCTCAAGTCCTCGGGCATCATCGCCAGCCGGCCCTGGCCGCGGGTCTCCCTCACTCTCGTCACCACAGCCATCGTACTGACCATGGCCGTGTTCAACATGGTGAGTGGTCTTCCTCCACTGTCAGCTCCGGAGGGCTCGGGATGGGGCGGGGACTACAGCCGTGTGGAGGAGGGGCCTCTCAGGCCACCCTGGAGTGGGGCTGGTGCCCAGGAGTGACCCTCCTGCCATTGAAGCTGCGATCAGGGACCAGGGAGTGGCCACACCAGGCCAGAGTGAGCTAGGTGCCCAAGGACTGAGGCTAACTCAACGTACACACCGCACACACCTGAGAGGGAGAAGCAAGTGACCACACCAACCAGGACACAGAGTGAACGGGGGAACCCCTAGGACAGAACCGGGTACACAGTGAGCAGATGATACCCCACAATAGAACCAAGACGCAGTGAACAGGGGAACCCCCAGAACAGAACAGGGGGAGTGAGCCAATGATACCCCACTACAGAGCCAGGACACAGAGTGAGCAGGGGAACCTCTGGAATAGAACCGGGGGATACAGTGACCAGATGAAACCCCACAACAGAATGGGGGTACAAGTGAGCAGAAGACACCCCACGACAGAACAGTGCGCTCTGTGGCATGTCTTCTAACACAGGCCTGTTTCTGGGTTTGACAGTCCAGGGGTTCTCAGTTCTCTTTGCCGGCGCCACAATTCAGAGGCATCAGTTCTTTTTTTGGTATAACATTTTCAAATGCATGTGAAGCATGAAAAAGCCATGACCTGAGTCAGGCACACCTTGGCCTTTCAGTTGGCCTTGTTTCTTCTGGGCACTTAGAGCTCTCTGACCGCACGCTAGCCCAGCGCAGTCCGTCATCCTTCCCTCTGACCACACGCCCGCCCAGAGCATCAGCATTTCCTCTGACCACACGCTAGCCCAGAGCATCAGCATTTCCTCTGACCACACACTAGCCCAGCGCAGTCCATCATCCTTCCCTCTGACCACACGCCCGCCCAGAGCATCAGCATTTCCTCTGACCACACGCTAGCCCAGCGCAGTCCGTCAGCATTTCCTCTGACCACACGCCCGCCCAGAGCATCAGCATTTCCTGACTGCTGCTGCCTTGGACGTTGATAGTGGATCCAAGTAAAATGAAACCCTTCGCAGCTTCAGTCTTTGCTCCGTCTATCACGATGTTGCCTGTTGCTCCAGTGTGAAGACTTGTGTTTTCTCGATGTTGCTCATCCTGAAGTCTCCGTGGACTTAGATCATCTTCAGCGAGTGGTTCAAGTCCTCCTCCCTTTCGGCAGCAAGGTTGTGTCATCGGCATAATGCAGGTTGTTGATGAGGCTTCTTTCCTCTCTCACCCACATGTCACGTTCTTCATATAATCCAGCTCTTCAGATTACTTGTTGAGCCTTCAACATGAATAGGTAGGTAGCTCTTATGTGGAGTCAGGTTGGAACCAACGCGCAGCTGACCCTTCCAGAGACAGTGACCCACACGGGGCAGGTTTGCCTGTCTTTCTCCTGGGGAGCAGCGCTGGGTGCAGACCGCATGCCTTTGGGTTGGCAGCTCGCCTCCTTACCACGAGCCCGCAGAGCTCTCTTCAGATCGGGACGGTGAAAGCCGAATCTGCATAAGCACCTCTATGGATTTTAAAATACGCAGTAGCCCTTGTTCTGTTTGAAGAACTACTTCTTGGTCTGTGCACAGATTTTGTGTGAGCAAAATGTATTTTCTATTCTGAAATTCTCACTGTTCTCAGACTTACCTATAGTTTATTATGAGCCACACAGTAAAGTGTTTTTACATAGCCAAGAAAACACAAATAAAGCTCTTTCTGGTACTGCCGGCTTTCAGCTGAGATCCCTCTGACAGCAGTAATTACAGCCCTTTTCCGTTGGTCTCTTCTGAATCCAGCTTGAATTTCTGGAAGTTTCTGCCTCTACACTGCTCTAGACATTGTTTCAATAATTGTCCACAAGATTTTACTTGTGTGTGATATTAACGATACTATAGATGGTGAAGAGCTTGAGATTGTTCACAGCTTCCGTTTGCTCGGCTCCACAGTCAACACTCTTGGCACCAGCAGTCAGGAAATCAAAAAGCATATAGCGATGGGAAAGTCTGCTGTTAGGGACCTCTCTAAAGTACTCAAGAGCAACGGTGTCTCTCTGGAGACTAAGGTGCGCCTGATACAGGCCATAGTCTTTGCAATCGCTTGTTATGCATCAGAGAGTTGGACAATGACTAGGGAGGACAGAAGGAGAGTTGATGCCTTTGAGCTGTGGTGCTGGAGAAGAGTATTGAAGGTACCATGGACTGCCAAGAAAACAAATAGATTCATCCTAGAGAGGGTTAAACCAGGCTGCTCCTTGGAGGCAAGGATTCTGGGGCTTCGTCTGACATACTTTGGACATGTTGTAAGGAGAGACAGGTCTTTAGAGAGGGACATCGTGCTGGGCAGAGTGGAGGGACAGCACAGGAGGGGAAGACCCTCTTTGAGGTGGATTGATTCAGTGAGTGGGGTAATTGGGATGGGTGTATCAGAGACCGTGTGATTGGCACAGGACAGAGCGGAGTTTAGGGCTGTTGTACATAGGGTTGCTATGAGTCGCAAATGACTCGACGGCACATAACAACAACAATAATGTAATTTTTCTATTTTGTTAAATCATCTCCTTTTTTTGAGAGTGGACACACATACAGATCTCTTCTAGGAAGTTGGCCGCATACCTGTCTTCCAAATTTCTCTAAACAGACTAAGTCCAGGGTTGCTACTGCTCACTGAAATATCTCCACTGATACTCCTCAGTGTCTGCAGCCTGTCTCCCCCCGCCTTCCGTGCGGCCGGAACATCCTCCCTCAGGGCCGAGCTCCTGTGCTACCTCCTGAAGTACTTCGGCACCAACATTTTTCTTTGTACTGTGACTCTGTGTATTCCTTCCACCTTCTTTTCACGCTTCCTGCAGCATTCAGTACCTTGCCCGTGGAGACTTCTAGTGTTGCAGCTTGAAGCTTGGGCTTTTTCCTTCAGCTCTTTCAGTTTAAGAAATGTTTGGTGGGGTCTCCTCACCTGGCTGGCTCACTCAGATCTTCGCCTATTTTATGGTAATCCTCTGCTCTGTCTTCTCAAGCTGCCCTTGAAATCTTCTGTTCAGTTCTCCCGTTTCTTCCTTTCACGTTAGCCTCTGTATGGTCAAGAGCAAGTCCGGAGTCCCTGCTGGCATCCACTGTGGTCTTTGCTTTCAGTCCTGTCTTTTCGGTGACCTGTGTCAGCAATGTCATATCGTCCTGTACATCCTCAGTGTCATCCATTCCACATTGTCTGTTCTTCTGCTGTTCAATGTTCAGTGCATCGACTCTCATTCTTGAGATAGTTTCTAAAATCAAGTGGGATAAAGTCACAGTTGAATCTTGGCTGCCGCGGGCTTGTTTTCATTTTCTTTAGCTTTCATTTGAACTTGCATGTGAGAACTGTGGTGCAGTCAGCCCCTGGCCTTGTTCTGACCGCTGATACGGAGCCTCTTTTCTGTTGCTCTCCACAGATGTGGTCAGTTGGATTCCTTTGTCTTCCATCAAACAAGGCCCTTGCATAGAGCTGTCATTGCTGGTGTTTTCAAAATATATATTTGCAATGAATAAGTCATTGAATGTTTAAAACTAATTGTAGCACTTACTTCTTTGGCCAGTCGCAGCCCTCATTCCTTTGGCCATGATCACACTGTCTGACCTCCAATCCTTCAGTGTCCAGTGTTGCCTCCCAGGAACGAGCTGTTAGAAGGCCTCTTCTCTGCACGTGGGATGAATCTGGGGGTGCAGAAGTTTGCAGGAAATCCTTTAGTAGTTGTTGCAAACATTTGAATAATTGACGCATCAACGTGTGTTTTATATACAGATAGTATTCTGTAATCATTTTAATTCAGGATGGATATGGAACATTTTTTTTTCAGAATTATTTTGTTGTTTGTTGTTGTTGTTATGTGTCGAGTCACTTGTGACTTATAACGACCCTATGTAGCCGTAAACCATGTTCTATCCTGTGCCAGCCTCATTGTCTCGAAAACACCTACTCCCACCGCCCCAATCACTGAATCGGCCCATCTCATCGAGGGTCTTCCTCTCCTGCGCTGTCCCTCCGCTCTGCCAAACATGATGTCCCTCTCCAAGGACCTTGCAACATGCCCAAAGTATGTCAGACGAAGCTTCAGAATCCTTGAGTCCAGGGAACATTCTGGCTTCACCTTCTCCAGTACAAACCTGTTTGTTCTCCTAGCAGTCCACGGTATATTCAACACTCTTCTCCAGCACCACAGCTCAAAGACATCAATTTTCTTTCTATCATCCCTAGTCATTGTCCAACTCTCTGATGCATAGCACATAATTGTGAAGACTATAGCCCGGATCAGGCGCACCTTAGTCTCTAGCCTGACGTAGAGGAGGATAATAAATGATGAAAAGTTGCAGAAGGAGGTTTATGAAGCTCTGTGGAGCATAGCTGCTGTCTTCTCTAACCGAGTGCCATCCTAAAGCCGTCACCATTTCTAGAACCTTCCTGAGGGACACAACATTCCGTGCTGTGTGTCCACTTGCCACACAGCCCCCAGAGGCCTCACCTAAGTTACTTGATTTCTTCCCTGTCTGGTGATTTAATCAAGATTTTTTATAAGGGATTTGTGTTTTTTTTTATTTCTTGAGATCAGTAGTGCCTCAGACCAGCTACAGGCTAGCCTGTTTGTCATGTCAGAAATTGTCTATATTGTAATACTTGTCCATCAGACATAACTTGTAAAATTTTGGAGCACCGTATTTTCCAGGGAATTACTTTATTGGTTTTCTTTGGATGTATTTTTGTACCAAAGACCCCCTCCCCAACAGTGGTTTCTGAGAAATTCCTTAACATCAGGGTTTTTTCATTTACACTTTTTAAAAAATCTGTAAGAAAAATTTATCAAATGGTATTACAGGCAGCTTCACCCTTGTTAGACTGCACGGAGCTGGTTCTGACCCATCGCCGTCTGTGCACACGACTGACCAAATGCTTCCTCTAGCTCCTCAAGTGGACTGTGTGTGTTTGCACTGGGTCTCGTTCTCTGCAGGCCCGAGAGGTCCTTTCCCATAATCCCCTGCGGTCTGGAGCTGCCTGGAACTCGCTGTTCACTGATGCACCTGTCGATGCTGGTTCTCACATTCTGTCCATGCATTGATTTCCTCCTGTGCAGTCAAATGCCTGGCACGTCCCCTATGTTGGCACAAAGCTGTGAGGATCCCGTGTGAACGTGGAAGTCGTGGCTTCCTGGGGGAGGGAGTGGACTGTCTCTGCTCTGGGCCATGTCAGCACAGGAGAATTACAGATTAAAATGCGTTTCTTCCTGGGCTTTCTCCTGTGATGGGAGTGTAGGTCAGCATCTCTCCTGCCGGCGTGCATACTTAGGTCTGCGGCCTGGGCTCCTGTCCCCACACTGTACCTTCTGTCTTCCCACCACCTCCGTGGTGCTGCCTCCACGTATTCTCCCATCCTCTCCTTCCTACCTTCCGCGTCTCACCCTCAGGTAAATGCCACCCTTGGGAGGCTCTGAGGTTGGGTGTCCGGGGGCTGGGAGACCCCAGTGTTACTGCCCACCTTATGGATCTGTCTGCTTGGATGAAAGATGTCCCACATGGATGAGACTAGTTCCGGGCTCAAAGGGCATCTAAGGACTGCAGTCTCGGAGGTTTGGCCAGTCTTTGTCAGGACAGCAAGCCTGGACATTGCTGAGCGTCGAGTTTTGGTGCCCATTTCTCTCCCGTGATGTCTGGGATCTTGTGACATAATTGCTCTCAGGGCAGGAACAGGGAGAGCCGAGCACCATCTAGTTCCTGCGGCCTCAGGTTTGTGAACTGGACACCGTGGTGTTCAGTGGAGCCGAGGGTCAGCTGTTCCCATTCGTCCCTGATTTTCTTCACTCTTCTCTGCTCCACGTAGACACACCACACTTTTATATTGACCTTTAACACAGGTGCATTCTTGTTCCTGATCTCGCTGTTGCCGTGTTAGCATCCCCAACAGAAACTTGCCAAGAGCTTCGCAAAGAAAAGGGCATTCGAGCACTGGACCGTCCACAGGAGCAAACCTGCTCATGAGGAACTCCGCTGTCCATGGGTCTGGTCCTACTGGGGAGATCTGTGTTCACAGACCTACGTTAAAGAGCAACGATGTCACTCTAGAGACTAAGGTGTGCCTGATCCAGGTCATGTCCTTCTCAATTGATTGCTGAGCATCTGAGAGCTGAACAGTGACTAGGGATGAAAGGAGAAGAATGGATGCCTTTGAGCTGTAGTGCTGGAGAAGAGTATTGAACTCTTGGACTGCCAAGAGAACAAATAGGTCTGTCCTGGAGACAGTGAAACCAAAGCTGGTCCTTGGAGGCAAGGATTGTGAAACTCAGTCTCATGTACTTTGAACATGTTGCCAGTAGGGACCAGTCCTTGGAGAGGACGTCATGCTTTGGAGGGTGGAGGGACGGCGTAGAAGAGGAGGACACTGGATGAGATCGACTCCGTGACTGGATTAATGATTGGAGTAGTGTCAGAGGCAATAAGGTGGGCTCAGGATTGGATGAACTCAGAGCCATTGTTCGTAGAGTCACTGTGAGTCATAATAGACTTGAAGGCACTTAACAACAAACAAGCCTGCTGGTTATTATCCAGTTGACATTCATTGTTATTTTTCCCCCTTTAGTTTTTTCTGGAGGTTCCGAAAGAGAATCCCACGCTAACTGCCAACACTTCCAACACCAGCTTGTCCCCAGCCAACAACCAGACTCTTCAGCACGCGCAGAGGTTATACTTCCTCCCGGTAAGAGCGTCTCACGCACAGTCACTGTGTACTGCTTCCTGTGTGCAGCCCGCCTTGTGTCACCCACAGTCACTGTGTTACTTCCCGTGTGCACCGGCCTGTGGGGCTCAGGACCCTACCTTGTGTCCTGGGCTCTGCTTGTCTCCTCTGGTGTCTGGGCTTGAACGAGCCCTGGCTGCTTAGACAGGGTCACCTGGCTCAAAGAAGCCCCTCGTGACTGGCGCAATTGCTTAGTCCCGGGTTTCCCAGTGTGGATGGACCTCATGGCCGTTCTAACTGCTAACTGACAGGCGGGCTGTTTGAGGTCACCCAGAGGCACCCCAGAAATGAGCTGCTTCTGAGAATCAGATGCTCTGACCCACCTCTCCTCCGATCAACCGGCATGGGGGACCCAGAGGCAGGGCAGACCCCACTGTGATGGGCTTCACATCATGTTGCTGGGGTCCCCCATGGCCTCACCTCATCTCCCCTGCCACCTCAAGCTCTCAGCTCCCCCCATCCTGAAGGAGCCCAGGGACACACTCTCAAAGCTGCAGCAAGTTAAAGCTGTTGTCCCCACTCAGTGTCTTTTTTCCAGGTGTTTGTGGGGAGCAGTGTTGTGCATTGACACTGTCCGGGTGTTTGTGGGGAGCAGTGTTCTACATTGACACTGTCCCGGATGTTTGTGGGGAACAGCGTTATACATTTACACTGTCCGGGTGTTTGTGGGGAGCAGTGTTCTACATTGACACTGTCCGGGTGTTTGTGGGGAACA